TCCATATAATCTTCTTCACTCAGGCATCAAGGATTCCTTGCATGCAGGCCACAAGCCTTCCTAAGTATAACACTTTCTCAGTGACCAAAATCCAACCCAGTCTACGAAAGGTGGCATTAGGGCTCTTCCAGATTCTCCCTTCCATTTTGTCCACATACTATATGATAGCCCCAAATAGAGTCTCGGCTTTCCATATCCCCAGAGTTACTCCTCCTGCATCCTGGTTTCCCCAAATTTCCTTAGCCTCCTGTATCCTCCGACAACCCATACATGAGCAATGAAGGCTTTCTATGTGCTGACCAGCCAGTCAACAACCTAAATAATACAGGGAACTGATGAATCCATGCCATACTATTTTGCTCAGTGTAGTTAGTCTGTCTTCTCTGTGGTGTCTAGATTTTCTAAAAATGTAGAATTAAACAGCACTGAGCATTTCACTGTTTTTTCAAATTAAGTTGGAATTGGTCAAAGGGCTTTTAAAGTTAGTAGAAAGAAACCAACAAGACAGTACAAGGGAACAAAAGCATCTGTGTGGAGTCCCCTAATCCAGCCTTACATATGCCTACTATGTCCACTCCGGTGCTTCTCTGCAGCTGATTTACCTCATATCAAGGCTGCCAGGTTCAGTAGAATCCAACATTTCAGACCTGGGTTTGGAGTGTCTAGCCTACACACCTCTGTGTCAGTGCTCTCTAAACACAAAGGATAATCTCAAATCCAATTTTTGAGAATGTGTGTGTGTGTTTTTTTAGCAAAGTAAATGTTAACACTTGCAAAATTCTGAGTTTTCTGTCTTAGATACTATATTTCACAGAATCGCAAAATCACAGAATCACAGAATGGGTAAGGTTGGAATGGATGGTGGTGGGTAATCTGATCCAACCTACCTGCTCAAGGAGGGTCATCCTAGAGCACACAGCACAGGATTGCGTCCAGACAGTTCTTGAATATCTCCAACGGAGGAGACTCCACAGCCTCTCTGGGCAACCTGTTCTATGCATCAGTTTCTGCCCATTGCTTCCTGGCCTATTGCTTGGCACCACAGAGAAGAGCCTGGTTCCATCCTCTTGGCACCTTCTCTTCAGATATTTATAGACACTGATAAGGTCCCCTCTCAGTCATGTCCTCTCAAGCCTGAAAAGGCCCAGCTCCTCAGCCTTTCCTCATAACAGAGATCTCCCACTCCTTAATCATCTTTGTTGCCTTTCCCTGGACCTGCTTCAGGAGCTCCATGTCTCTCTTGTACTGAGGAGCCCAGAACTGGACACAGCACTCCAGACGCGGTGTCACTCGGGATGTAGTGGAGCAGGATCACCTCCCTCGACCTGCTGGCAATGTTCTTCCTAATGCACCCCAATTGTTTTTTCTACAAAACCAAATATATAATGAAATGCAATACCTGTCACACAAAGTGATTCTGAATTCTCCAAGGAAATGAATTTTGACAAAATATTCCTGAGTTTCAGTCTTCCTTTGTCTCAGTAGAAATTTGGCAAAGCTTAGCCCTATCTCTGATACACCCGTTTGTTCACATAAAAAACTAAGCTGGAAAGGTTTGCCAACCAAAATACCACCTTATGAGAAACCAAGGCTCTTTTATTTGAAATCTATGTGAGACAATAGTTGTAGAGAGTTCAAATTCATCATCTTTCTCTGTTCTCATAGCAACCCTGATAAATTTGGCATGAATCCACAGCTGGGAGCTGAATTTACACTTTACAGATTTTCTGAACCACATACCCACAGTGCTTTCTTCTGGAAAGATTTGTACCTTGTTATCTTTCCATTCCCCCAGAGCTGCACAGGCACACACATCAGATGTGCCTGCACCAGTAAATGGAGATGTCTGCAGTTCTCCCGTGTGAAACTGCTTCTCTACTAAAGGCTGAGTAACAAACCGTGTCAGGACTGGCAGGAAGCATGGAAGTCACTATCTGATCCTTCCCTTTTTCTATAGGTCACTGGGAATCTGCACAGATGCAGCACAAGGGAAGGATCAGGGAGGGCATCATGAAACTTCTCACCTCCCATGTGGAGGGACAATTTCTACCAGCATGACTCATGGCAAAATGCCCTGCAGACCTGAAGAGGCTTTCTCTGAACTGGCTGGACCCACTAAGAACAGGCTCATCTCTCCTGAAATCAGTCGGCAAGAAGAGTGGTGGAAACATCATAGAAACACTATGTGCAGTGCCCAAAACAGAGAAGAGCACTAATCACTGATCAAGGGCATGACCCAAGGAGCAAGGGAAGATTTTGCACTTTTACATCAGAGGTCTGCATGAAATCTTTTTAAATGATAGGTTTTCTTCAATATCAGCTGAGTGTAGTGTAGAAAGAGCTATTTTCTCATGGGAGATACATGGTGCATTGCAGGAGCAAGTGGAAGGAGTGATATGAAGAAGGGGTTCGAGATGGAGGGATGGCTGAAGCACTGCTGGGGATTTGGGACCTGAGGTGGGACCCACCTGGTGGGACACTCCAAAGCAGATACACTGTGGAGTTCAGACACACAGGCAGATGCAGCCCCACCACAGACTACTTATGGCTGGCCTAGCGTGTGCCCTCAGCTATGAAGGAGCCAGAGGGGATGTGTCTTCATGAGAGAGCTGCTAGGCATGGCTGGCAGCAGCAACTGCAAAAAGAAAAATATTATGGGGCAGTGGAAACAATTAAGAGTCTGTACCTTGAAGTGAAACATTCTGTGAAAGCTGAGGGCTCCCTGGGCTCCCATCTATTTCACTGACGGGAAATTGGGCCATGTTCAATACAATATTTTAGCCACATCTACTCCCCCAGCATCACAGATGCAGGCAAGACGTTGCCACATGATTATTGGGAATCACACTGGGAAGGTCCAAAGGAACTGAAACACAGGAATGTTCCCCTAGTCACTGGGGATGGGCTGTGCCTTATCAACCCAGATACACACTTAAATCACAATAGAGAGAAACCTGATGATACAGGAAGGATTTACGTAGGTGAAGAGGTTATTTTGCCATCCAGGTTGGTTTAGATTCAACTCTGAATGAGGTTCAGAAGGTAGGGTAGATGCCCAAAACCATGAAAGATGACAGGATTTGTATTAAACTGATCATGAAATGATGTGATGCACCTTCCTGAAAAAAAGGAAGGAGCAGCATCAGAAATTCAGCTGGTGCTGAGGCTCCTGACAAAAATATTGTGAGGGAGAAAGAAGTGAAGGGAGAAAGGAGTGGAGGACAGCAGTGAGGTGAAAGAGATGTTATTAAATGTCAGGCAGTCTTAATGTGGAGGAAGGGCAAAGAACATAGCAAGAGGTCATTGTAGCTGCATCCAGATGTCCATAGGTGTTTTAGAATCAAACAGGAAGCATACAAAGGGGGGAAACACAGGCATACATCTGAGGATGAGAGAAAAGAAACCCTGTAGAAAGGCTAATGGAGCAAAGTAGCTTACTGCTATCAAGTGACACAGAACTAGTAACTGTAAAACTATTTGTAAATGCATCAAAAAATGAAAGAAGAGCAAAAGAAAGATGCTGGTTATTAGGAGGAAGGAGAACTAATACCAAAAAGCCTGGTAAAGACTGAAGTGTCCAGAGCTGTTTGGTTCAAACTTTACAATAGTTAACTATATTCTGCATGAAATTAATTTCATAGTGGAAATAAAAGGACAGGTGTATGGGGGGAAGAAAAATTAAAATAGCATAACTAGATGTGGGCAGGTTTGAAATTTGCCTTGGGGAGTTTAAGCACCTCTGTGATCCATGAGGTCTCTGCACAGGCAGACATGATGCCCCCAGGGAATGGAGGAGGATCAACACAGAGGCCAGTTTTTCCATATGTGCTGGTTTTGGCTGAGATATAGTTAATTTTCTTTAGAGTGGCTAGTATGGAACTATGTTTTGGATTTATGTTGAACACTGTGATATTAATATAGAGATATTTTTGTTATTGCTGAGCAGTTCTTGCACAGCATCAAGGCCTTTTTTGCTACTTATACTACCACGCTGGCGAGAGGGCTGGGAAAATGGAAAGCTGGGAGGAGACACAGCCAGGTCAGGTGACCCCAACTGACCAGAATGATATTCCGTATCATATGACATCATGCTCAGCATATAAAGAGGGGGGAAGAAGGAAGAAGGACAGATATTCCGATTTATGGTATTTTTCTTCCCAAGTAACAATTACACATGATGGAGCTCTGTTTTCCTGGAGGTGGCTAACACCTGTCTGCCCATGGAAAGCAGTAAATTCCTTGTTTTGCTTTGCTTGTGGCTTTTGCTTTATCTGTTAAACTGTCTCAACCCACAAGTATTCTCACTTTTGCCCTTTCAATTCTCTTCCCCATCCCACTGGTGGGGGAGTGAGCGAACAGCTGCATGGTGCTTAGTTGCTGGCTGAAGTTAGACCACAACACAGTGGAAAGAAGGCATTGGTAGTGCTTTTAGGCTACTCATAATGCCTGAAAGATATGAAAACAGATTATTCAGAAGTCAGTTGACAGCCATGGAGTAGATAACAACAAGGTGGCACCCAACAAGAAACTCCTGCCCAAAGAGAAGGAGGGTTCTGAAGAGTTGTGAACTCTCCCCCTACTAGACCAGTCTGGAAGTGGAAGGAGGTTGGAAGTCTTCAGTCATATCTTCCTCCTATGCTCTGGGTATGTGTGACAGTAGTCTCCTATTCCTTCTTTGTTCTTCTTTTTCTTCTGAATTTTCCTGCTCTTCACAGTCTCTTTGTGTCCTATTCTCCGTCTTCTCTGGTCCTTCATGTTCTTCTAGTCTCTTCACTTCACTTCCTAATTTTTGCAGCTCCCTTTCAGTTCACATACATTTCTTCCCATTGCCCTTCCCCTTCCTTTTTCTAGCTTACTTTATATGAATTCTGAAAAGGATATCTTGTTTCCAAGAAAACGTCTCAGCCTTCCAACACAGACTATATTTATCTAGAAGCTGAAAATCCTGGAGCTGAAAATGTCACAGCTAAACAACATTAAACACAGCTTTAAGGAGAGAATTTCTCAAGCATGGACAGACATTCAATGACTTTTAATCATGCTGACATTGATATAAAAAAAATGAAACTTTCAGATGCCATAGAATATGCCACATGAGATTCTAATAATTTTAAGATATGCAAGATTAATTTTCAAAATATTTCTTACATTTATAGCTTTCAGCATTTGAAAAGCCATTTCTAAGCCTCTTACTTAGAAGGTAAGTGCAAATAAGTAGTATTACTGAAGAAGAGTTTTATAAAAAGTTTTTATGTTTGTAAGAACATTTTAAGCAATACAGTCTTTATTATGTCCTGATTTTCTAGTAGAATTGATTTTGTTTATGGGCATTAATTTAAGCTAAAGATATTTATTCAGCCAGTTGATCATATCCTTTCTTCCTTCCTCAATAAAAGGTTTATCTTGAGGATTGATATCTTCTCTTTTGCGATGCACAAACCCATGTGTCTGTCCAGGGTAAATTTTAACTTCATAATCAACTTTACAGTTTTGTTTAAGCTTCTGCTCCAGTGAGGTGACCTGTAACACAGAATGTTCCATGCTGACTGAGTACAAAGGTAACACGTGCTATACTTACAGTCCTCAAATTGTCCTGTTTTTTTTTTACTTTTCTGGAAGACAGACATGGTATGTCCTTGCCACTGTTTCCTATTCTACTAATTTTGTACCTAAATGCATTTCTGTTTCTACACTTGCCTTGTTGAACTAGGCTCTTTTCTCTAGCAAAATAACAGCATATGACTGTATAAAATGTAAAAAAAGTATATGGGTTGCTGTAATAATACCTGTAAAGGCAAAAACACTTATTGCTGAGCTCATAAGAAGGTTAGCATGTAGTGATCACTGTACAAGAAAACTGGGGCAAGAGTTTGAACTAATTTAAAATTGAGGGAGGAGAGGCATAGATACAAAATCAGTAGTTCAAAGCAGCTGGCACTGTTGGTAGGAAAGTTAAAGCCAACACCACTCAATAAAAGCATACGTTCCTCTTTGATCCCCTTGGTAGATAATCATCTTTCTCCAGTCATTCTCCACCCACACTCCAGAGAAAGGCTGTTGACAGAGTATCAGAAAGGAGAAGCTCTGCAGGACAGTGGGGAAAGGAAAAGTCTAGTCACAGGATTTTTTAGTTCTCCTGCAACCAGTGATTCCACTTCTATAGGTGGGAACTTTCTGCTGATTTTAGGGACCATCAGTATCATTAAAGAGGGTCTGCTATCTTAAACTTGACAGAAGGCTTCCTTTGGATTCTTGCTCTTTTCCTGAGAACTGATGACAATCATCCATATTTTTTAACAGAAACAGAAAACATGTTTAGTGACACTTTAAAACTTTTTGATTTGGGGATAAATAATATAAATTTGTGTAGATGTACTGTAAGAATTAGTGAAAGAGGAAGAAAAGTGCAAATTAGGTTTCTACTTTCTCTTCATTAAATACCAAGTTACAAAACAAGCATGAAAGGCATAAAAAAGACAAATATCTGTGATGGGAAACTCACCTGCTCCAATGGAACGATGTCATCCTTTTCACCAAAAATGAAGAAAGTAGGATGCAGCAAATTAGATTTGTCATCAAAACGCCTGATCACTCCTAGGGAAGAAAGACAAGCACATACATCCTACTTAAAGTGGCTAAACCACTACCAAATCTGTACAATAAAACTACAAGACATTTTGATTAGTTACAGCTGCTTTGTAATGGAATTAAACATACTTTGTTTAAAAATCCCTTTTGTTGTGGAATGTTTGGGATGTTATTAAAGATAAAAAGACCAGTTCTGTATGAAAAATCAGGGACAAATTGTTACACTTGCCCCATTTTTGTGGTTTTCTTTGGGCAACTGCTTCTGACCACTATCAGAGACAGGGTTCTGTGAAAGATGGACACTTAGAAACTGCTCACCTCTAGCTGCTCACTTCTAATGGGAAGGCCATTTTTAAGATAATTGTAAATATTCAGCATTTCAGATACATGGTTAGGACTTCAGTGTACATATCCTGATATGAATTCATAACAAATTGACACTGTATTTTTGACTGTTCAAATATATTTGAATTTAAGTTAAGTAAAACTAGACAGCTATCACCCTGGCTACTCTTTTCATTCCTGAGATTATTACAACAGACAGGTAAAAAATTAACAAGTAGCATTGTTGAATTGACTCAACTGATCAGCAAATTGGTGTAGCAAAATAATCCCCACGAGCTTTCTGGAAAAATACCTTCAACTTTCTTTCACCTCTAATTAATATAAATTGCTCTGGGTTATGTGAAAGTACAGAGGTTTATAACAGAAATATCAAAGGTAACATAAATGTATTGAGAACTAAAGTGTGACAGTGCAAGGGTTAAAACAAGGAGTTCCTATTAGTAACAAGGGACCACTACCTAAAAGATTTAAAAGATGTGCCCAGAAACCCTTTTGTCATTGCCAGTCAAGAGGAACCTCAGCCACAGTGAGGCCTTAGCATTTGGTGTCTCTTGTATGCTACATTGTACAGAAGGGATCCTGGTCATGCCACTCAAATACATAGATCTTGCTGGTTATAATTAAGTGCAAAAATGTTAGTGTGCTAAATCAATTTGCTTGATATAACAAAACAATTTGCTTTTGTATAACAAAATCACTTTCTTCCATCCACTAGATGTCACACTGAATTTTGTTACAGTAATAGCCATACAGAATTAGTTGCTGCACTGGTCATATCTGCTCAGAGTGTAATAAGTATTTCAGGCTTACCATAGAGGGACACCCCTGCCTTTAAATGAGGATTTTTCAGCATCAGATGTTGCACAGCTGCTCCACCCCAGCAAAACCCAATGACACCAATCTTCTTTGCACCACATTGGTCCCTTAGATACTTGAGGACGACATCAACTTCTCTGAGACATGCAAATGAAAGTGAATTAAGGATCTAGCTCTGTTCCCCTGGCCTTCATGGTGGCTGCTTCTCAGAGACTGGATGGGCATCACTCTGCTTCTGGGAGGGAGCAACTGCCTTTGCATCACTCCTGGTTTTTCTCTTTCCCTTACTTATCAAATTGTCTTTATCTCAACCCATGAGTTTTCTTACTTTGCTTCTCCTATTCTCTCCCCTGTTCCTCTTGGGGGACTGAGTGAATGGCATTACAGGTGCTTGGCTGCTGGCTGGGGCCAACCCGCAACACTACTTTACTATTATTCATTTCTAAAATACAGGAGAAACTCCAGGGGAGAAGACAAAGGAGAAAGTCAGTCTTTCTACATCACTGTTAATATGACATTTTATAAACAGCAGTCCAATTAATTTCACAAATAGCAATAGTTGTCGTATAGGCTAACACAAATAAAAGTTTGAGGCACACAGCCAGTCAAGAGCATCCCGTTATGGCAAATGTGACCTATAGTTAAACTATCTCCAACCAGGAAGACAAATAGTTTATAAAATTGTGGAAGCAAATTTAAAATTGTTGCTTCTAAATCACCAGAAACATTATGCAATCAAGCTATGTGTCAGATAAAAATGGGGAAAATATAGAAGAGCGGGAAATTAGTATGCTTTGAACTAGCTGTTCCCTAGTTACATAGTGTTCGGTGACTGCACTTGAACCCAATCTAAAATCCGCGGAAGTTATGCCTACCTGCAGGAACTGAATCAAACTGAAGAGGAAGGATTGAGCTGCATTTTCTAGCCTTTGCTGGTTCTTTTCATTTTAGTCACTCATTTCACTTCTACTCTCTGCACAGGTAAACAGTGGGTGCTTTTATTCTTGTTCAAACTTCTACTTTTCTCCAAAAAGCACCCATCACATAACAATGAGCTTATGCCGTGAGCTACATGAAATTTCTATTTGTGGACATCCAACTATATTTGACCCACTAATAATCTAGGGTCTAATGCTGCATCTTTACTGAGGCAAAAATCCCTATGAAATAAGGATGTCCACTTGCTGGACAAGGAACAACGGTTGTACTTGTCTATTTTGCCGGCATTTCGGGTTTTCACCCATTCATCGAAAGTCCCCCAGTCATTAGAAGGTTTCCAAGCTCCTTGTCCCACAAAAAAATCTGGGCAGATGGCTCTGTAAGAAAAATGAAAATATTTTATGCCCATGAAATAATAATGAGAAAAGATTAAAGCAAAGTCCATGGGTACTACACAACAAATTAATTTTGTTGAATACATATAGTACTTAATCTACACGAAAGTATTATACTAGCAACCCTCAATATTTTCCTGTGTCTAAAAAGGAGACTTAGTATAATTTGCAGATACATTTTGCCCTGTTAAAATTCATTCATTAATTTGATAAATAGCTAACTGTAACTGAAAATCCTTAGTGGTTTCCTACTAAATTTTTAAAAAACCAACCACATGCATGGCATGTACATTTGGGCTAGAAAGAACACCAACCCAGTAATATAGGAAAGTAGATACCAAATATGTTTTTCAAATATTCGAGAACTTGTTTCTTTCTTTGGCACGAGCTGGTACACTTTACCCACACTGAAAGACCTTCAGCTTCTTTGCAATTTTTACCATAACAACAGAGTTACACAGAGGCTACATCAAGAGGGAGGAAATAGGCCATTTCAGGTTCATGCAAGATGGAAGATGCAGAATAACATTTATCTCTATCTTATGTGCTTACCTACTAACTTATTATGGTAGGACTACTGAACTCTTTTAGACGTTTTTCCACTGTTTTAATGGGAAAGTTGCTAGAGAAAGGTGTAGGGAAAGTCTATGAAATTATTAGTGTTTGTGGGTTTATATGAGAACAGAAAATAGTAGCTCAACAAACTTTCTTATTAAAAAGACACTTTGAAAACAGTAATATTTCTTACATGTATCCATTAGTTGTTAGCATATCAGCTATGTATCTGGTGTTTGGGAGTTGCCATCCAAATATATCATGAATCACAATCACGGCTTTGTCTGTGCTGGCAGATGGTTTGCAAACGTATGCCTTGATGTGCTCAACTTGTACCTCCTGCCCACGGCCTCCATAGTCAAACCTGTCTCCAATATCACATGGACAGGGTCTTGATTCATTAGCCATGTGTGATACTAAAGAACAAAAAATATTCAGTTGTGAATACCAAAACATACCACATCGAAAAAGTTCAAAAGACAGTGGTATCATAAACTGTTCAATTTTTTAATCATTACAGTAATATACTGAACATGTTCGATACTGTTTGATCTAAAATATAGTATTAGTCAATAAACCCACTGGAGTGTTTTTTATAAATAAGAATCTTGTTAGAGTTACTTATGAACTCTTCAGGAGGGACCAGGTACATAACTAGGAGTTCCATGCCCTACAGTAAGTAATGTGATAAAAATAAAGCTATGAGCAAGCAGTCAGGCAACCATCACAAATTATTTACTTAGTGATAAAAGTCCTTTTTACAGTTCTTTCACTCTTCACCATGGGTATTTCCTGTCAGGAATGTATAACTTTCTTTAGTATACTCTGCGAAGGCTTAATACAAGACTTAGCATTTTGAAGGAAAAAAAAACCCAGCTACTGTGTAGGAAGATATAATTACAGTCAGACTAAATATTTTCCTCCAGAGAGTTAAAATATTCCATAGCTGACTTTTTCAATGTCAATAAATCCTTTTTCTAAATAGCTTTAGTCTCAGATGTTGCAGACTTCTGAAAAAGGATACGTAGGAGAGGTGCCAAGAAAAATATACCAGCAAAAGTCAGAGTATAATATTGTATTTATTTAATATTAAATAAAGAACACATTCAAACTCCAAGATAGGGGAAAAAAACCTTAGGTGGAGCCAAAGTTTTTATCAAACAGGTAATAGAGTGGTATGGTTAATTTTTTTCAAACTATTGCTTAAATGAAAATAAACAATTCACAAAGGTCAAAAAGTGCCAGCTGAATCTAACGTGGATGTATGTAGCTCCTTGGACTCAAGTTAATGATTTCTTGCCATCAACCTTAGGTTAACAAAGTGAGTGAACTTACCTGAATAACTTCATTGAATATGCACAGAGCATCTCTAAATGATTAAAGAACATGGAGAGAATTTAGGTAAAGCTTTATGTAAACTCTCTACAGATAAATTGTTTGTACTACCAAAGAAAACTTTGTTAGTACAGAAACAGGGATGTTCAAACTTGACTGTGCCAAATGTACTGACAGAGAGAAACAGGAAAAGGAAGTTACTGAACCATTCCTGGATGAGTGGGACTTAAATAATTGTGGCATTGAAGGGACAGTTTTAGGAAAACAAACAAACAAACAGTCTGGCAGTCAGAAGAATTGCACAGATTTCCAGAGACCAAGATCTTCTGAATTTGCAGACTTTAAAATTCAGAATATCTCAAACAATATTACCAGAGCTAGATTGCAGATCCTGTGAGATTTCACTTAAGCATTTATTTGAAGACCAAACAATAACTAGTTTTCAGAGACTTGAATCTACAACCACAAAAATATAAATATATTACTGTGTGGCACTTTCATTTTCAATACACTCTCCTGAGTCTTCCTGCCGAGAGGTCTTCCCCACCTCTGGAGGGAAAATAAAAGATTTCTGAATCATCATCTAAAAAAAAAAACAAAAACCAAACAAAACAAAAACCAGGAAAAAAAGTAGCCTCCAGTTGCATTTAAATGAGCTCGCACTCCTTAAAAAAGCACGCAGATAAAATGAAAATCCCCCAAACATGCTGAGTCAGATCTCAGTACGCACTTGTTCTACATTTCTCAGAAGAAAAAGCAGTGAGAGCTTAAAGAAAACCAACAGCAACAAGAGAAACTCCACACATACCTGCAGCACAGCAAGCGTGCGAGACAGTAGACGCAAGATGCCGGAGTTCAGCGTGGATGAATGGGATTCCAAAAGAAAGCGCTAACGCACAAAATCAAAGGGTGAGTGCAAAGATCCTGTTTCTTTAAGTCAGGGTTACATAAGCCTTTATCTTGGTGTCTCCCGCAGTGACGAAGTCCACTCTTTTTAACGCCGTTTTCACCGCGGGTGTAGGCGGGGTGTGCAGCCGCGAGGAGCGCTGCTGTAGCTGCGTACCAAGCCTCCTTTTTCACTTACACAAAATGGTATTAAGCATGACTTAGCTGAGCAATCCATCTAGGAAAAACCGTGTTTACATTTTTTGGGGGGGGTTGGTTCGATTTGCTTTTTGGTTATTTGTTTGTTCTGTTTTTTAAGGGTGTTTCTTTGCTTTTAAAGGTTGGGGAATTATTACTTTTGACCATTACATTGGCATTATCAGTTCTTTAGACTATTCATACTTGGGTAAAAGACATATTTAAAGTCATCAGCAAGGTGAGCAAAGTAGAGACACCATTTCAAAGCTTATATAGCACAGGAAAAATATTTACTATTTTCAGAGTGAATTAAGCAGCATGTAAGAAAGTAACAGCTTTGTAGACTGCTGTACAATGTGCTTAAAATACTGGTCCTATCACACACTTATCCTATCACAGAACATTTTATACATTTTTTTTCTTTTTGAATTAAAGTCTCTAACTGTATCCCCCACATTCTTCTGATTTTCTTTTTATGAGATTATTAGAATTATTCCTTAGAGAGCTTTAACTAAATATATTAGCAATCCAAAAGTCACTGTTTCCTCAGAGACACGTCTAAAAAGTAGACTAAATGCATATTAGTCCACTACACTTCTGTCTTACAATTTAGTCTTCATATAGAAGCTGTTTTCTCGTATTCTAAATAACTTTGCTAGTGCTGTTTGTTTGCAATCCCTAAAATGAAGTCAAACAAATGAAAAAAGCCTACCCAAGAATTGCAGAGCAAAGTCATAAGGCTCAAAACTAAACGTTTTTGGTTTGGGTTTTTGGCTTTTCCCACTTGTGTACTACAGATTATAGGACACAAGTTGCTTAGATACTCCATAGCAACTTTAAAGAACAGTAGCCAAATAAATGAGACAAAAATTGGGAATTTGCATCATTCCTAGAAAAGAAAAATTACAGCAATGCTTGCGGAACCTTCTCTCCGCTAGAGCTGTTTAAGCACATTTCCACTTTCTTAGTCATGTGGCTCTAGAAATAATTCTTTATACATAAGATTATTACCCTTTAATATTAACATTAAACTTTAGAAATTAAACTTCTTTTAATTTGGTTTCCTGTTGTTTCCTTTATAGGCAATCCATGCTGTTTTTTCAATTGAAAGTCAAATCTTAATTCAACACATCCATGATCTCTGGACATGCAGTTGGCTGCACTTCATATTGTAAACACACGCCTCTTTTGGATCCCATATGTCCAGCTCTTACTTAGTGACTTATGGTTTTATCAAGAAGATTTGGTTGTACTTGTAGTAGCTCACAGCTGCCCTTTCACTTCAAACAAATGCTGCATCTCAGTTTGGTTTGGTTTTGGTTTTTTTTTGCTTAGTCACGGTGTTAGTATTACAGCACACATGCCATTCCAGCATTTATGAATGACTGCTCTTCTCTAAATAGATGTCCTGATTGTCCTCTAGCACATTAGCTTACCTTCTAATGCTCATGGAACATCAATAATGTGGAGTTATCAAGGTTAGACACTGGGATAATTAAGGTACCATAAACTTCTAGGCCTCTACATTCTTCTCCTGGAAAAGATGTGTTATGACAGCTGTATCACCCAGATAACAGCTGTATTAATATATTACATTAGATGATATCATATGAAAAACAACAGTTAATCAGCAGCTGCAGACCAGAATTCTCTGAAGACCTCCCCATGGGAAAGATGGGGGGGGAGGATATAAGCAGCATGTAAAGGAGGAAAACACACGTGGGAAAAAGCAAACAAAACTAAAATCCAATGAAGAGAGATAAGATTCATTAATACGGTTGACTGTTTTTACATGAGACACACCACAACATATATTTCTCTGACAGTATATTTAATTTGAGAGACTGTCACTAGCAAAATTAAGACTTCCCTAAATTACATTTTCTCCCCATTAAATTCCATACAGTCTTCATCAGTAGCACTGATAAGGTGAAAAGAGACGTACAATCATTTTTGGTTTTCTTATAACTTTAGAGGTACCAACACCTCGTGAAGACAGGAGGCACCTGGTTTCAAACTAACAATCAGAAGCCTTTCATCCCATGAGGCAAAATTAAGCAGTGTAAGTCACCGTCACAAGATACGCTAGAGAGCAGCAGATCAAGCAAGTTTAAAGAGGGACTGGTAAATCCTCAGAGGTTTGGTCCAACAGCGGCCGTTGGACACAACGCTCCAGTGGGAATATCTAGCTCAGGAATCCCCTGAAGGGAAGGTCGCCAGGATGTTTCACAAGAGAGGATGTTCCCTACACAGTCACTGCTGGCCACAGATGGAGGTTGGGTGCTGAGGTGGATGCAATCTTGAGCTGATGCAACACAGAGAATTTTGTCTCATATCATTGCTGGGAAAAATAGGTAACAAGATATAATTATGCAAAACTATGCAACATTTCTCCTTTAGGGAGTAGCCATGGTTGGAAACCCCACATTAAATGCCTTGTCTGCAGATTGCATTGTACATTTCAATTCCTAACCTGACCAGGAAAGCATCTATAGAGTTTCACAGAGCCACAGGTAATCTGAGAAAGTAGTATACCATCTGAATAACCTTAGCTACAAATTTTGAAACAAGATATGACCCCTTACATCACCTGTTAAATACACATCTGCCACCAGGGTACGAGTCAAAAAATCCTCCTTTCTCAAAATGAGCTTTGCCAAACAATGTATTTGTGTCCCTAAATTTTCAACTTGTGATTTATGTGGAACTTAGACAAACAGTGGCCATAATACACAAACAGATTAATTTACCATTAGTCTAACTTATTTCAAACATTAAGGTAAATCTCAAGGAACTGGAGGATATTTCAAAGCATATTAAAACATGTCACCAACTTTTGCGGTAAGGTTCTAGACAATTTGTTACAATATAAGGGCAGGTCTTACAATCTACAAAGATATGGACAGAACAGCAGTATTTCCTATATGTGAAATCTATGACAATGCTAGATACACTATAACTGAAAAAAAAAGCCTCTTAAAAACACCTACGGATGTGGTTTGTTGTATCCTACATGGTTTATAGGTTCCTAGGACCAATAGAAAGCTGTCATACAACAAAACTCCCTGAGCAGATTACTGTAAAACAGCAGTGGGGTTTTGATAAAAGTTTTTAACTTGGGTTTAGTAGCCATACTTTTACAAAAGAAAGAGACTTAAGAAAAAAAATAATCTAGATTTCATTCTTAGCCCTTCTATGTCTAGCTCTGTTTTCCTGCTTGGTTTTTTGATCTTCAAACATTATTATGAGGCAGAATTTTTACTCACAATTCAGAATGGAAATTTAAACATGCAGAAATCAAAAATTATGGTTATTAGCATACTCAGTGAAGGGGAATGAAGTCATATCTTTCAGCAAAAATGAAAAATGTAGGGTTCAGGAGACTGGATAGATCATCAGAATCTTTGATTACACTCTGTTCCTGGGTGAAGTTCTAGCTCTGCAGCACGCAGAGGAGTAGTAAACAGGAAAAAGGAAGCTAAATCGGGAAGGTGACCAAAGAACAACATGTATGTCTGTCCAGACCTAAAATAAAGACATGGCTGCTATGACCCATTCTGAAAATAGGAACGAATATCCTCACCGCTATTTTCTTTGCATAATATCCTTCCAGTTCTGATGAAAATATCTCTCTTCATCAGCAAACAGCCTCATTTGAAGAAATAATGCTAGATCAAGTACTTAAGCTACACAACATGCATATGCACAATGTTTACCTCCTTTTATTTACCTACCATAGAGAGATACACCAGCCTTTAATTCCCAGTGTGGCATCATCAGGTGATGTACAGAAACACCATCCCAGCAAAAACCAATGATCCCTAATTTCTTTGCACCACACTGTTCCTTTAGATATTTCAGGACAGCATCTGCTTCTCTAGAACATATAATTAAATGCAAATCAAGCAATCATAGTAAAACCAGTATTTGAAATATGAAAAGAAAATATAGAGATGCATATAAGTGTCCCCACATCATGCTGCAACTATATTTTCTTTCACATACTTCATATAAATTATTATTTCAGGTAAACCTTAGGGGTTACTAATCTGAAATCATCAGAGAGAAAAAAAAATAGAAGCCAATAGAACTCAATAAAAAAGGAATATAAATAATATATATCAAAGGAAACATAAGGGCATAGAAAGTAGATGATTGATTACACACTATATAAGAGTTAAAAAAAGCTTAACGTTCTCTGAGAAGCTGGATAAATTTTTGCTTAATAAATGTTGATTAAAAAGTAATAAAAACCTCCCTGGGGAATACTATTTATTAGCTAGTCAAAATGCTGACAATAACTGAAGTTAGTATTTCTTGCAGGGAAGTCAATGTAAAAAACATGATAGATGTTTTCAGATTTTACAGTGTAGCCTGAAATACTTTTTGGCTAGATGCTGAGTTCTGAAAATACTCATTTACCCCTGAAGCATCTGTCACCATGCAGAGACAGTAAAAAGAAAGTTTAGGTGGGAGAGAGGTAGCATTTAAGGCTTTTGTATCACCTCAAGGCTGTGTTTTCAGACCTGTTTCCTCCCCCCTTGGTCATGCAAGCTATATATGCCATCAGTAAACCAGCTTCGCAAATAGCGCATTATCTGCCAATGCACAAATGCATACAGAAGCAAATTAACTGCCAAAAAATTCTTTCCTCACTGCAGCTGACACTTGAAACGTGTGAATTGCCTGTAAGAAATGCTAGACAGTGCCCAACCCTGCCTTCCCATTGCAGCAGAGAGGGGACAGATTCCAAACTAGAAGGGTTTCTACAACAACTGAGCCCTCTGAGACAGGAACTCTCTGGAAGTGATTCAGTTATGTCTCCCATAATCTTCTCACCAAAAACCTAAGCCCAGCAACCTTCGACATAGCTAGTCCCAACAGCCCAAGACATTTGCTATCCCAGGAAGTTTA